GCCATATTTTACGAACTGTAACTGTAACGTTGCACAAGGCACAAACTAATACTAAATAACACGCTAATTGTTGGATGTTTATTCTAAATGCGCTGACTTGTCTAGACTTGCAATAACAAAGTTTTGTTTCACAGATAAAACCAGTGGTGCATTAACGCATCAGTAAATATTTTCATAAAACAAAGCATAATCAATATAGTATTTCCAATGTATGTTTTCTGCGATGTAATCTACATGCTATAGACTTAAAAAAAAATAACAATACAAATCCAAAATATATTTTTTCACTATTTTGGATTTACTTGAAAATGTAATACAAATTTATTTACCGCTTTTGTTAACTTTTAAAGTCATATATAAGATCTTTCTTTTACACATAAATTAGTGATTTCTACGATTTTATGTCCTTTAGTAGTGGTAATAATAAAATTTCTAAATGGATGTGCAAAAATATTTCCTGGATGTGACAAAAAAAAATCATAAAATAAGTGGTGCATTAACGCGCCACTGGGACAAAATGGGTTAAAAATAAGCAATATTTCCATAATTTCAATTTCAAACATCCTGTAATATCGAATATGTTTTCACATTTTATGAATTTTTATCTTCTAAAAAGTCATTCAAAGATTTTCTTAAAGTTACGGAGCTAAGTTAACTTATTTTTTAAAATAATTGGTTATCGTGAATATTGCGGGAAGGGTTGAATCGATAGGTATAGACAAACCTTAACAAAAATGGTAAAGGGTTAATCGCTGAAACAAAAATTGCTTTAAATGTTGGCTGTTCCATTTAGAAAATCAGAGTTCGCCAAGTTAGCAAGACTTTGGAAAACCTGTATTAGATAATAAGTTTTGCGTTTTTTTTTAAAGCTATTATTGCTTTATTTTCGGTTCTATACCTTAGTTCCGTTCATTCATTTTTATTCTAAGCAACAAAAGTGTTATTGTTTCGGTTCCAACTCTGTTATCTTTTCCTACGTCAACCTGCCTCGAACAGAAAGAGTCAATCTTGCATTTAACATCAGCTTACCGGACACCTTCGTTTAATTTTAATATGTTTTTTGTAACATGCCGTGAAAATTAAGGCATAGGAAATTACTTCACCATTCAATGGACAAATTAAATTAAAATTTAAACCGCCTAAAGTTTTCTTTAAAGTCGCTAGGTTCATCAACATTCTAAAGAAAGTTTTCACAACATGTATGAATTAAATCGTTTCTTTCATCAAAAATAGGACATTTTTATAATAGGTACTTCATCTCGTGAATTGAAACGGTCTCCATGATGATAACTATATCTCTAAAAAGATTTTCTAGATTTTGCAAATTTAGAAGTGTAAGTGTGTAATTACATAACATAAACTAAACCTCGAAGTGGCATTTTTTACCTTGCCCCTTATTGGCAGCGTGCGCATTTGATGAGAAATAACATTTTCCATTATCTGATAAAGTTCAACGCTACCTACGGCCGGCTAAGGTTAAGTTTTCAAACGTAGGCGGTGTTGTCAGAAGTAATACGATGTTTCGAAAATAGCAAATATAGTGAGTTATGAACTAAAAAAAAAACATTTCATTGTAGTTGAAGGCTTTTTAAATATTTTTGTTTGGCTAGTTTATTTTTTGTTTATTCTAAAAAAACATGTAATGGATCGAAAACACCAAATTTTCTCATACTAAAGAAGAAAGAACTCGTTTCTATAGTCTTTAAACATTTGAATCAGTGGTTTGAAGGTTAATTTTTGTAGCAGAAATATTTAAAGCGAGGTTTAACGACCTAGTGCTGCTGCGGCAGGCCTAAAATCTTTTTTAACTTTAACTGTGTGGAATTTAATTAAGGAACATGCTAGTCTGCTAGTTTAAATTAACCTCATTTGGGGGTTGATAATCAAAAATATCGCGCAAAATAATGTTCTTTATGAGGTTGTGATTGTGATTCGCAAGTATTCTTCTGCATCTAAACAACTTTATCAAACACATTTTCTCCAGAGTTAAGACCGATTCTCATATGCGATTCACCGTAGATCATTAGGCCTCACTTCATGTAGTGTTAAAAAGTCTTCGTGTTTTTTTACGTGTTAGTTCTTGACGCTTCCAATTGTGTTTAAATGGTAAGTGATTACGGAAATAGCCGTAAAAACAATGGCCCTGACGAGAAAGTTGAGGAGTCAATATGAGCAACAAAAATTATAGTACACAGTTGAGGAGGGGACAACACATTCACACAATATCTATGGCACACTTTACACATCTGGTTTCGCATGAACTGTCGCTCTGATGCGCCGACTTGAAGCTTATAGGTGAATTCATCTCTCTAGACTAACGGTTTGTCGCCAAGCCTAGTGAAGTGTAGTGAAGCACGGTGAACCGCATATGAGAACCGGCCTTTAATTTTTAACCTTTTAATGCAACGTCAACAAAAAATAACGCACAAAAGCTAAAAGTGTCTATTTCAAATTAAGGTCATAAAAAAATCATTAAAGGTGCAAAAGGTCCCTATTATCACGCCTCGAACTTTACAGTGACCTTTCATCATGTCACGTAAATTTTTCTTGCAAAAATCATGTATATTTTATTACTCTTACAACGAGCTTCTTTAACTTAACAAAATTTACCCAATATTTACTTTTTTTATTATTTTCAAAATAATTTGTTTAGATTTTTTTCCTTCTGGGAATTCTCCTAAAATACTCTCTTAAAAGATAAGCAATAATAACCAAATCAAAAATTATTACAGTTTAAGAATAATTTCCATTATGTCATTTTATGTCATGGGAATGTCATGTATGACCCAGTTTTGGTATTCTGTGTTTTAATTTATTTGGTTTCTAACGACTTAATTTTCTGTCATGTATGACACAGTTTTGGTATTCTGTGTTTTAATTTATTTGGTTTCTAACGACTTACTTTTCGTGCAAGTTGAGACATGTTCAGTCCTACTACGGCTGTAAATTTAAACCTATTCAGTTGCATGTAAAAAGGGCTTATCTGACGGAGAACTTTTTTATTTTGATGAATGATTCAGAAGAAGAAAATGAAAGGGAAATGATGACTGAGGGAACATATAGTGAGTCTGATTCTGATAATATCGGGTCGTAATATTGAAGTTGCTGGTCGTATATGGAAATACATACGTAGCTCCTAAAAAGGGGAAGAGAATATGATTTTGATCGTAAAGAAAAAGGTTCACAGAGAAAAGCAAAGATATCGATTCTATGCCGGATTGTTTTTATTTTTATGGGACGAGATTTTTTACATCATCATAAAATTTACTAATCGAAGAGCCAAAGAAATTATAAATGAATATAATAAGACTCATGAAGAGAATTTAATTGAACCATGGGTAGATGTAGATGTTACGGAATTACGTGCTTTCTGTGCAATTCCGATTTTATCTGGAAGATTTAGAGAAGATTTATCAAGCTTTAATGAGCCGTAACAGATATTGCGATATATTAAGCATCCTTCGTTTTGACGATAGTTCTACAAGAGCATAGAGAAAAATAACTTGAAAGATAACTTGAAGTTGTGAAGTGTTATCTAGGAGAGGAGGGTAAACTTCTGAAAAAAAATCAAGTATCATTCGTAGTAAAGATTTTACCAACTGATTAGTATGGAAGTGGACGCAATCATTTTTTCACCGAAATAACTTTTGCGGAGATCTTATAAAAGAATAGCTAACACTAATTGTCACTATACTCAAAAATAAAAAGGACTTACCAAAGAATCTTTTGGATATAAAATCATGTGCTCTTTATTCATCTTATTTGCTGTACACTAGTGTACACTAGACCTAATATTAGTGTCCTATGTTAAACCAAAAAAATGTGTGATATTACTTTCTTCTACTCATGACGATTGATGAAATTGCTGATGAAAAGGAAAAATTGAAACCTGAAATTGTTCTGGCATACAATAAAACAAAAAGTGGGGTCAATGTATTAGACAAACTTGTGCGTGAATATTTCTTCCAAAGAAGCGCAAGATGGCTGCTTAAACTGTTTTGTGGATAACAAAATATCCAGAATGGCATGGTAATTCTTCCATTAACATATCTAATATCTTCAAGATATTGGGATGGATTTTGCTAAGCCGCATATTGAAAGAAGGACAAAGAAAATTGAAGAAAATGGTCAGGGTTTTACAACGATTGTGACTGTAGCTATAGAAAGTACAGGAAGAGAAATAACTACAGGTATTAAAAGAGTTCGTTGTCGCTTATTAGTGGAAATAATAATATATATTCTAAAAAATGCAACAAATGCAATAAATTGTACAGTAGTCTGCTACTCTAAGAACAATCGGCAACTACTGCGTAAAACATGAGGATGAGGAACCTCTTAAGGTTCACAAATATTATAATAATTATAGTTTTTTGTTTCTAGGTTCCACCTAATTAAGAATATGCCTTTTCATTTGTTTATATTTTTCGTTATATTTAAAAATTATTTTTTCAATAAGAAAGCTCAATTGAGTAAACTGTTTTATTTAAAAACTCATAAATTTTTTTAATAATATCAAAATATGTATATTTAAATAATAAAAAGAATGTGTCAATATTGACCCTATTTCATTAATCAAGTTTTGTAATAATTCCAGTCAGGTGAGTGTTAAATAAAATCAACATTTTTTTTTAACTGCTTTTTTTTACTAGACTTAAGCACTTTTTCTTTGGATTTAATGACATTTCAATAAAAGCGCATTAATTCGGTTATATTCCTTTTACTTCATACGTTCCTTGGGTTTTTATCGTAAGCAATAAATACCGCGGGATTCCAATGCTATGGACTAAAGCCCAAAAATGTTAAATATTATTCTATACGTCCCCGCCCCTAATGAATTACCATACTATACCTTAATCTACGTCCAACGGAAAGACCCATTTTTTTTGCAACTTAAGCTGGGAAAATTGAGGGATAGGAAATGTTTCAAGTAGTGCTGTCAAAGCCACTTCTGGTCACTCAAAAATCACGCGAGCGATTAGTAAAAGCAAACCAAATGGGAACTGCCTAAAAGTTTTATTTAAAGTCAATAGGTTCATCAACATTATAAAGAGAGTTTTTACAACATGTATGAATTAAATCGTTTCGTTCATAAAAAATAGACTTTGTTAATAGGTACTCTGTCTCGTGAAATGAAACGATCCCCATGCCATTGTAAAGAGAGAGAGAGAGAGAGAGAGTATTAACTATATCCCTAAAAACTTCTTTTAGATTTTGAAAATTTAGAACTATCAACGGACAAACGTATATGGAAGCATAATCACCTAAAGTGAACTAAACCTCAAAGTGAACACATCTAGACATAAAATAACGCGTCACTGTTCAGTCCTCACGAGCTCGGCAGCAACGTCACGCTCGACCAAACCAAAGTTCATCGGATAACTTATTAAACTAAAATTCGCTGCTAACAATTGGCACTAACGCAGACTACGCGTCCTCTCTCGGACACGAGTGTCGCCGACTTATAGTGACGTTTCGCGATTCACTTTGCCGTTGTCGCCTTTCTCGTCGATCCCGTCAAATTTCGATGACATGTTCTGCATGCTGGTGGAAGTCCGGACGTTTGGTTCGTCGCCGTGCGTGGGAATGTCCGCGTTGCTTTTCCCGAGATCGGGAAAAATGTATACGTCTTTGGACGTCGACGGCCCAGCGAAGCTCACCATGACGGGTTTCTCCTCGATGTAGTTGATGTGGATGCCGGCCAACGTTTCGTTGCTGGACGGCGTTAGAATCTTGGACCCGACCGATCTTTCCGTAGGTGTGTAATAAAGCGACAACCTGCTTTGATTAACGTCCGTGTCGTCTTCGATCCCGTTCAAGTTGGACAGCTTTTCGATTTTCGATTTGATGTAAAAGTCTACGCTCTCGATGTCGTTGGGGTCGAAGACGAGCGATTCCGCGCGGCCGCAGGTTCCCGCCCGGCAGTTTTCGAAATAGAGACTCGGCAGGTTTTCCAAAACCTTGTTCAAGGTTTGCTGCTGGTATTTGTACGTCTCGCGCAATTGCAGCACTTTGTGCGCGCTGAATTTCCTGATCTTGTTTCGCTGGAAAACGTAGTTCTCGCGGACCCAGTTCAGCTGGGTGGTGGAGTAGTCCCGTACCTTGCGCACCTGTAAAGGAGAAATTATTTTATTATTTTCTTATGGTCGATGTAGGGGAGCATAATAGAAACCGTTGAAGTTTAAACCTTTAGCGTTCAACTCGTTTTCTCGATGAAAACTTGGGCGTAAGACTGAACCATTTTGAATGCTTCAACGGCTGATGTTGGAATAAAAAGAAATCATAGTGTGCCAAATCCGGGGCCCACTACGATTCGTCGTCCTTTTTGCCTTTTTGGAATTTCTCCGATGACATTTGACAAACGAATAGTCATACTATTTACAAGTCTTCTGGATTCTTCCTACGGTAGTAGAATTGATTAGAGGCAAGAATTTTTATGTCCGGTTTCATGATTGTGGTCGACAACTGCTGATGGGTTCATTTGTCGTAGTCTTAAAGCTTTTTCATGTTCATTAAGCCAATTGATATTTTTCGTCCCGTAAACTTTGGAAACGGAATTTTGTCTTTGACAGATCGGAAGTATTGAGATTTTTGGACAAGTGGTAAAAAGTGGTAAAAGGAATCCAGAAAATTTGTAAATAGTATTATAGTAGACTGTGGTAGTTTCTATGAAAGAATGTTTATGTAATATCTTATTGATGCTAGTCATAGTAAAGCCCATAGTATGCCCTATTCTCACGATATAACAAATGTCAAGCTTGCTCCATCACTTCGTGCACAGCAGCAATATTGTTCACTGTCACTTAGGCTAACTAGCAACCCTTTAATACAGCTACTTTGCCGTTGCTGCTAATACCGGAATTTTTTAAGCAACCAATAAGAGCTAGCGATATTTTTCAGTTTGTCAAAATATTTGTGAAATGTAGGTGGTAATAGCCCGAGCAAACATTGCGTATATTTTCACCTATTATTAAAATATTTTAGACCAAAGAGCAAACTCCGATCTTGATGGATCGTACAAGATTCCGAAAATGAGACAGTCAGAGCAGTTGTGCAGTTACGTCTCGTATAGTGACGTAATCAAAAATGATCCTTATATATATATTGCTATATTGCTACCATAACCATAAACAACGTGATTGCACCATTGCTCTGACTGGACTTTCCAAGTTTGCGGTCTTCAGTCCTGTTGGGCAATAATGTTTGCTTGCTCCATTACTATTTTTATAGTTATATAGTTCAGTTAAATAGTTAGTCACGAATAGTTATTTGACATTTGACTTGATTTGTAATGTCTATAGAGACATAAAAACTTACATGAGATATTAAATAAAAAACCAGGTGAAGGAAAAAAGTACAGGTTGGTTAAAGTTGCAACGGTGGGAACGCATTAGGTCGGTTTTAGTTTTATGCTCGGCCATTGGGAAGTTTTTTCGCATACATCTATTTTAAAACCACCGGAAGAAATTGCACGATTCTTACCTTATGCGTTCTCTCTATGACATTTTTCGACATACCTGGTCGCAATATTGGCCGCGCAGTGTCGTCAAGTGTTGGGTTCCGATATCCCTGAAATCTTTGAGGTGTTTCGCTTGCGTTTGGTAACTGCCTTGGATCCATTCCATTTGCTGCGCGCAGTTGTCTTTGATGCGGTTCACCTGCAACGCGGAATAGGTTTAATAGACTTCTTCTGTCTGCAATCGCAGTAAGTTTACTAACCTGTTGGGTATAATTTTCGCGTAATTTGTCTAGTTGTTGCGACTTGTACTGCTCGATATTATCGAGCATGGTGTAGATCTGTTTGGCACGCGGCGACACCCTGTCCCGTTTGCAGAAACTGCAGAAATTGTTCAAGATGCCGAATCTGGAAGGGAAATGATTAAGAGAAAAACACATTTCTATACTGGATATTGAAAATACTGAAGGATATAGGGCGACCATTTTGAAAATTGATCATAACTTTTTTATTTCGGAAGATTTCTCGGTCGAATATAAGGTATTTTTTTGAGTCAAATTCAGTGGCGTGCTCAGATTTTCTCTACAATTCCCTGTTTTCTCCCAAATGAATACAACTTATTAATTTTTTATGTGAATCTTTGACTATAAACTTTAAATATGCAGGAGTCCTTTTCAATCATGTATGGATGTTGGGATTTGTTTGAAAAATTGGCGGGGATGCCAAGATGCTTAAGTAAATACACACAGCTGTCGATGTCAATTAAAGCCATCTTATACACACGCTTTAAGAATAATATAAACTAACTAACAATTTAATTTTAATATTATTGTTTGAAGTTACCTATTCGAGGAACACGCTGCATATATTTTGAGAAGTATTGGAACCATCACAATAATTTTAATGTAATATACGAAGTACTACAATTATTAGAATGCATGTAATATACACAATATAATATACAATAATAAAATTTATTGTAAACAATTAATTGAGCATAAATAAGCTGCTAATAATAATTTTGATACTTTTTTAATTGCTAAACTTAAGTTTGCCCACTATGTGTGATGCAGCACAAAATCCAATAAATCAAAATGGTTCATTGACATTGACAACTAAACGCACTGCCTACTGCCTAACAACCATACGATTTCAAAAAAGGGTTTCACTGTAAAGACCATCGTGATTGCCATATAAAATAAGAAAGTTGTATTTCATTTGTGAGGAAAAAGACAGAATTATAGATACGTAAAACAGACGGACACTATTCCCCTTTTTTTACGATTTTCACTTATATCAATTCCTTCACAACCAAGCTGCATTTTTTTTTCTACCGCTTATGTCGGAAATTTACTTTGAGGTGAGACTTTTCTGTAGACTGGTCAGATTAATAAGATAAGCAATGTTTAATTCATATTTCATTTTTGGTGGTAGTCTGATGCTCTTTTTTGTCGTTTCTGTGCATTCTGTAACCACACAGTAAAGAATGATTTTTGCGTTAAAAGTCGCTGGAAAAAGACATTTTCGAAGTTTTTTAAGTAAATTAATAGTATATTGTGCAACAAGTGCGGTAAACGGCATTTGACTCACGAATTTATTTGACACGAGCGGAGCGAGTTTTTAATAAACGAGTGAGTTAAAAAGTTTACCGGACGTGTTGCATCCTATACTTTTTCTACGACCGTTACTTTTTGGTTACATTTTCGAAAAACACGAATACATTCACTGACATGACTATCAGAATTAATAAACGTCAAAATTCAAACCGTGGGAGATATCTCCAAAAACATCCGCTTGCTCCCAAATCCGTGCGGTAAAATCCCGAAAATGTCCGAAGTGACGTGGTAGTGACGCTTCCCGCACGCTAGATCGGTGGGTAATTAGGTATTTTAAAGACGGGAGCAGAAAAACTATTTGATGATACGATACAAATTTTCTAGATTATCAGTATTTGAATGATGTTAGGTGTAAATTATTTAAAACTTATTTGATTTTGGAAATTGAAGTTTGCTTTAACTGCGATTTTTTTTTCATATTACTGATTTATTACAACTCCTCCATATAAGAAAAAATATCTTATCGATGGATCGTAGGCGAGACCGAAAATAAACGTAAATGTCATCATTATCGGATCACTTAACATTAACCTTTACGTTTTCCTGGTGGCTTATATAAAGCCTAATTTACCGAGCATCGAGAATGGGGTCGCTAAACATGAAAATATAGTGGGCAGAGGAACGTAATTTTTAATGTTTGTAGTACATAATTATTTAAAATCGCAAAACATTCTAATAGTGTTGTGTATACGAAATTTCGGTTTTTAACATCAAACGCAAACCAACGTTATCGCATTTTAATTTACAACTTGCTTAATTAAAGCTTTTATTTTGGCAGGCTCGATAAAAATAGAAAACGAGATAAATTTTAATGGGTTGATAAGCGTTTTCAGCTCTACCGAACTAATCAAAACAAGTTTCTGCAAATTTACATTTACACGAAACTTGCACAAACAAATCCGTGTTTTAAAAAAATGCATTTTGGAAATAACATTGATAGTTGGCATTCATTTGGAGGCGGAGAAATTGTAATTGAGATAAAACCGTAAAAAATATGCTTGATATCCGCCATAAATTGCCTTTATTTGAAAGACCAACTTTTGAAATTACCATTTGAAGAACATTTGTCAAAAATCAGGGGCCGGTTGAGTTTTTAATTGCCAATGGTGTCTTGTTTAACGAAATTCAATAAATTAAATCAATTTCAATAAGTCGTAAACCTTGCCCCGACGCCATTTTATTGGACAAACCAGACTGACCTTAATGCGATTCTGAACTGTCACATCAGGTGATGCCACAAAATGATTACCAATTTAAAGTTTCCCGCAAGTAAAAAAAAAAAACGTTTATATGGAGTGTTTAGAAATGAAGGCTACGTCGCAAATAAGCTTTAGTTTCTTATGTTTTAAAATAAATTTTAATTCTCATATTTCATTCCCATTTTGTACATTGCTTTCTAGCAGGAAAAGACATTTTTTTATACGAAATATATTTATAAGAAAAATCCAGTGGCGTCCGTGTTAGATTTGAAACTAGGTTTATAATATTTTTTTAATCATTTTTGTACTTTTACTTGTTATTTAAAAATTATCTTACCTGTTGAGTATATACCGCAGAAACTGTACGATCAAAGTGAGGCCGAGAAATCCGGCCGCACTTTGGGTACCAACGACGAGGCTCAAGATGCGAATGTGATTCCAATCGGTGGGATCGATGTGCAATAGCACGTCTTCCGTCTGGTTCGCGATCGGGTTGCTAGCGTAGCAGTAGTATCGACCACAATCGCTGCGTGTTACATTTTTTATCCACAACGTGCCGTTGTCCAAGATCTATAAGTACGTTAGAATTTCAACAAAAATAAACCAAATCGTATGTATATTGGAACTAATACTCTTGTTTCTGTTGAATCCTCTCTTTAACTGGGGACTGTTCAACTCATTTTAATAGCAAGGTCCATCCATAATCCATAATTTATGCGCGGTTGACAAATATCTTCAACGGAAAGTTTCACTTTTTTTTGAGATTTTATAAAAATCAATAGAAGGAGAAATTGAGTAATGTTGGAACTTGAATGAGACTCTGTGCAATTCCACATCCTTTTACTTGTCTTTGGGGCAAGAGAATAAGCATGCCTCGGGTAACTAGTCAGATACCGACAAGAAATAAGATCAAGTCAGTAATAATTATTGAAAGGGAAAACTATGATAGAGGGAAGGCCAGCCAAGTAAACTATTTGTTTCTGATTTTCAAGCATAACAAGAAATCGGTACCCACCGGAAAAGGCCTCAGAAATGAAGCAACAATCAGTGTTCGATTGTAGTTAAGGAGTTCAGACAACCAAAAACCAAGTGACCAAAAAGACTAAAAAGTGTGTTAGGTTTCGTTTTGCGGAAACAAAGGTACAGATATAAGTCGATGGAAAAGAAACAAACCCTGTTTAGAACCATGTTTTGCACGCAGTCTTTCGGAAAAATAACTTCAGCAGCAACAGCTTATGCAAGCACTTTTCATTTTTTTGAAATTCTCAAATAACTAATACGAAACAACGTTAAGGATGTATTCCACTATTATTGAATTTATACTCAGAAGCCACGTATGAGGAACAAGAAATGGGAGTAAAAGTGAATAGTGTGGCAATATGCAGATACTGTTTTGATTGCCAACGATGCTGAAGAACTTCAAGAAATGCGTAAGTGAAGTATTTGGATTTAGTCAGCCAATGCCGCATAAGAACACCTCAATCGCAATCCAAAATCGACAACTTGAAATAGTAACGGAAAAGAAATCAAAAGCAGGATTGAAATGGCACGTAAAACATTAGTAAATGTAATGTAAAATGTTATGTTTGGTCCACCTATATGGGGTAGAGGTTTGGGCGATGAAGATGAACACTATTAATGAAATAGCAGCGTTCGAATTGTTGCTTAAGATTTCTTGCACTGATAACGTGCATATATTGGTCACATGTTTATAGTTATTTCTGGAGGCCAAATTTTAGGCAAAAAGTCCGGAATAAATTAATAAATTGGAGGAGTTATTCAGAGATAGATATAAATTTGGAAATATGATCGCAGTTAAAGAAGAAGAAACTTGCTTTCTGTTACTATGTAAATAAGAGAATTTACACGGAAATAACTAAATCCTACAAGTAAAAATGCCAGTAAAGATTTACGTGTTGAAAAATAATAATTAATACCTCGTAAAAGTCATGACTAATATTACTCGCATAAAAATCTTTGGCTACTAGCCGACGAGAAGGTTTATAAATACTATTTGGAGAACACTTCTATTTTTTATTTTTCAATTAATTTTATTCAATTCAAGTGATGATTTTACCTGTATTCGCGGAGGTATAACCCTCAAGGGCGTCATGAAGCGGTCGTGGGCGTGAGGGTGTTTGTCGAAAACGTCAGAAATGCTTGGGTCGGGGTTCCAGTGGAAAACTTCTCTCGTCGGCGTGATCCAAGTGATGGACGGGGGCGGATATGCCGCGTACCTGATTCAAAATAACGCCGTGGACTTGGTAGTGATATGCGACGCGAGTTTTCGTACCTGCATTCCAGTAACGCGTCCGATTTCAGACGGTACAACCTCGTGGGCGTTTTGAAAACGATCCTGGGTTTCGTGCAATTAAGGTGGTGCAATGTAGGCAACATGTCGTTCGGATAGGCGTAAGGGCCGCAACTTAGATCGGACATGGTCATGTTCTCGCGTCTTCTTGCTTCGGCCCAGTTGGCGAACCAGTGCATACGACAGTCGCACGCCCAAAGATTGTCCGAGATATTCAAATACGTCAGGTTTGTCAAGTTGGCAATCGATTGAGGCAGAAAGGTTAAAGCGTTGCCGCCTATATCTAATCGACGGAGCATGGGCGTGTCGGCCAGCACGTAGTTCTCAATTTCCCTGAGCTTTTTGTTGTTTCTAATCGACAAGTTTTGCAACACTGGCACCCCCAGCAGTTCGCTGTTGTGGATCTCTTCGATCTGAGTGTTTTCTATGGTAAGCGTCAACAGTCTCGGGCTGAAATGCATCAGACCGAAGGTCAGGTGCGTCATCCTGTTCCCGCTCAGATTCAGCTCGCGCAAACTCTTCAGTCCCCTGAACGTGCCGCTCGCGGGGTTCGTAAGCGGATTGTTGGCCAAGTTGAGGTATTCCAGATTGCTCAACGAATCGAACAGGCCTTTGGCGAAGAAGTGGAGCGCGTTGTGGGATAGGTCCAAGGTCTTCAGCGCGGTGAGGTCCGCTAAAGAGTTCGAGGTCAACTTCGTGATCCTGTTGTTGTTGAGTAGCAGGAGTTCGATGTACTTATTGAACTTGAAAAAGTGGTCTAGGAACGTGGCGAGACTGTTGTACGACAGGTCCAGTTCTGTCATGTGCTCCATGGCGAACACTTGGAACGGAAGAGCTTGTAGTAGGTTATGCGACAGGCTTAGTTTCCGCAGCTTCTGGTCCTTGAAAACGTACCGCGGAAGATCGATGATACGATTGTAGGAGAGGTTCATTTCGACCAAGCTCGTGTAGTTTTTGAATTGGTAGTTTTTCAGTTCGGTTATGTTATTATTGCTCAGATCTAGCGACTTCAGGTTTTGCGGGTGTAAGACGTACTCTAGGACGTTGGGCAAGTGGACGGAGGTCCAACGTAGGTGGCGGACGTTTTCGACGTCCAGTCGGGCCCCGGATACATTTCTGAGCTCCAGGTGCGTCACACCCGTCGGGATCGCGATAAAATCGGCGGATCGGTTGGCGCACATCATCATCGTCGGTTTGACGTACTGGCAACTGGGAGGGGCGCTTTGTGAGAGGGCAGGGTCGCCTCCTCCGTGACGCGCGTGCGCGGCGGTACCACAGACGAACGTCGCCGTCGCCGCTGCGACCAACGCGCCCAAGAAGTGCCATCGCGACGCGCGCGTTTTACCGGCAACGATTAGCCGGTACGGGTTTCCCATATTTTTCTAAAATTCATCGTCCCACGCGGGCAGTTCCTGACACGATGGACTCTGAAAGCGAGGACAAGTTGGGAAACTTTTATAGTAGGTTATTTTAGAAAAGTGTAGAGTGATGACGTGGAAATTTCGTCCAGTTGCACTCAATTTCGGCGTCGGAAATAAGCGTGGGTAAACTTTGTGCGATAACATGATTTTCGATCCAAATTAATAATAATACTTCTTTTCAATCAAAACTACCCGTAAAAGGAAGCAATATAAATTGAAGTGACGTCACAAAAAATAACTCTGCTACGTGTATCTTTTTTCGAAACACTTACTAATTACTAATTCATTTGATTGTTTCGGGTAAACTTAATAATAAATATAATAAGATTTGAATTTCTTTTATTACACAAGTGATTATTTAGCTCTTGAAATTGTGCTCTGTTTTTATACACTAACATTAAACATCCATAAATATACATCGCGTAGACTATCATTATACTTAATTCCCTGAAAGCCCCTGTACATGACTAAACATGCTACCAAATGCGTTACTGCCCGAGAACATCATAGCATACTTCACGGCTGATTCAAAGTTAGCGTAATATACGATTTTAAGAGTTTGACTATTCATATATGAAGACATCATTCTTATACCTAGTCCTTTAGTTTAAAATTGGTTGATATAACGCTCTAAGAATTTGTTTCTGTTTCTCCTACTTTGAGTAGTTTCGTAAAAGTTTCATTTTTCAGGTAAAGTTGTTTCGTTCTGTTTTATTCGTTAGTTTTATTTTTATTTGGTATAAATTTATTTTCACTAAACCAGTTATCGATTTCAACTTGGATCCTGTATCCTTTTTTTGTAGTTCTAGAAATGTGGGACCTGGTATCAAAAGATTGGGGTCATCTTGCATAATTCCATGCTTCCTTGTGCAATACCTACTCTATTTTCCCTAGTACAAGATTACTTTTTTTATTATGTTCCCTAATTACTACTCTATGTATTCTCTGAAATAGATAGGATTGCGATCGATTTCCTCGAATTCCATGTTTTTTTCATTTATACGGAAGCAATTTTCCATCAATACAATCGTAGACTTTACTTAAATGTAATAGATGGTCTAAAATCGCCGTGGCAAACCATCCCGTTCGATATCCGTGCCAGTGATTATTTAGAACCCCGCACGAAGCCTATCAACCTTGAACACAATTATTTAAAAAATATATTGAAAAACCTGATAATAACAAAAAACTGAATTTATAGTTTAACCTCTGATAGGAATCACATTTTCACCACTGCTGTATTTGGTTTTTGCTATATCACTTATTCCTTCTTATTAGTTAAGATACATTGTTTTCAACAATAGAACACTGAAAAAGCACAACTGTTTTGCTTTTTACGTTCATCAAATAATTATTAAAATGTTCTGCCAATATTTGACAGGTTTCGGTTAAAAACAATGTTTTTATTATTTCCGTTTATTTCATTACACATTGCTAGATACATTTATTTGGGCTTGGGAAAAACACATTGTTGAGGTATCAAAAAAACTTAACAGAACTATATAAACTTATAAAAAAATTTGGAGCGTTGTTAGATTTGCAAATAATATATTTATATGCTACCTTTTTTCTGCTTAATATAAAAAGTAATCTCACTAAATTTTAAAATAATTATGATTTCGACTCTTAGAACACGCGATGCAAGGATGATCTGATCCTATGTTATAATTGAACGCAAGTCTCAAGAGATGGTCATAATTATTTTAGAATGCAATTCTTTGAGCGCAAGTCCTTAATTATGACATTCCAGAACTGTATTATCTCATATCTCAAAAATAGCATTTTATTACCTCGATAAATATAATTGCTATAATATGGAATAGTATCATGGCCCATAGGTGTACATTGTGTTTTTGCAATGATTTTACTTTTGTCCAATTCGTTTTAAGAAATTTATATTATCGTAAAACTACAGTTTTCAATACCGAAATGTGAAAAGGTGGGTAACGTGCTACGTCAGTTTTTCAAATTTTAATCCATGTCCCACCCTAAACTAAAAAATATCAACAAATTGTGAAATTTGTCTATCTCTAGTTCTACTTTCAGAGCTGATTTTCCACAACAAATTTAGTGCTTTAGTGAAACGAAGAAGCTTTACAAATTTTCGATTTGGCAATAACAAAGGATCACTTTGAGCCAGAACATTTCTGGTGGCGTTAATTAGTTAATTTTTCAAAGAAACTTCTACAGGTTACTGTAATACTTTTTATAAAACTTCTGGATTCCTCCTGCGAAACATTTTCAGTCAAGCTGTGAAAAAGCAACAGCACGATTGGCGAAACGTTAGCAACTTCCACTCAAGAAAAACCGAGGCAGGAGGAATCCAAAAGTTTTATAAAAAATACGTTAAAAAGTTCTTCAGCACTGTCAACATTGCGCAAAATATCCTGCCATAATAATAAATTATAAATATCTATTCTAAAATTTAAATTTGAAAAGTAAGAACTGTTAAAAGAAAATGTTTCTTGTCGCCAAAATAACTCAAGAGAACTTTCAAGGAATTAACACGTCCACTTTCTCTTCTTTTTTTATTATAAGGGCCCGGATATATTGCCCCTCATTATGCATTTATAACGGAGTAAAGGGAAATGACACCTTAATGACAGAGTCATTAAAACATACATCATTATTGGCGTTAAGTTGTACTGTTCGAAGTACTTTACGATTAGTAATGAACGACGAACGAATTAGTCCGTAAAAGACAGCAGGTCAAGTGAATCTCACAAGAAAAGTCCAAATAGGTCAGTAAATGTTCATGAGGAAGGCTTCAAAAGTGTAATTCAAAAAAAGGTAACTCTTATTCTCTTGAGAGCAGAAAAAAATCAGCTCTCGCCAAGCTTGCAATAAGGATTAGAGTGCCTTAAGGCAAATAGACCCTAATAAATGCTGAACTTAAGAATGTTATGGGACAGGCAATAAACAACTGCTTTCAAAAGGCAGGAATTACACTTAACCATAATAACTGATCAGGAAGATGATAATACGGAAACCTTTTTTAATAAAATTGTAAAAATGTAATGAAATCTAATAAGTTATCAGTGACACTAGAGAAGTCATTGTTTTGGTGAAAACAACTATTGAATTGAAAGAGGATTAGCAGCAAAGCACATGTTATCTGAGTTATCCGTGTATGCAAATTAGAAATATATATATTGTATTTTTTTTCACACATCTTCCCTTAGGTGGACATAATAGTTACTAAGGTGTTTTCTAAATAAAGGTTTTACTGTACATGATAGCCGTGAAAACCGGAAAAGTCGGGGAACAACATTAAATTATCCAAGTCAGAAAATTTATTTTTTCATTCTGGAACACTCGGGAAACCTATTCTTTCTGCGATCTAATCCCTCATTTTTTATGAAATATATTGGATAAATGACCTTTCTCTCCGATTTTTGTTGAGTGAAAGAAACGGGGTTTCCTGGTTTTGATTGTTGTGATAGAAGTATATCATTTGGTCATACGTGTTTTGTATTTCTATTTAATTTTAAAACGCAAAATTGAAAAATTGAGTCGTAAAGTCCCAAATGTGGCGTTGTTAAAGATTACAACCTGATGATCGCGAAACACAATTTTTAAAGGCGCATCGACAAAGTACATAAAGCCCACAATCCTAATACTAATTATGTAAATTAATTAATAGCTGACGCAAATATTTGTGTATTTGTAAAACTCTATTTGCATAAGAACAAGTATAATGCATTTTAAACTTACAGCAATGACGGCCTGACATTCACGTTGTTGTGGTTATCATTAAGGACTTATCGACTCTTAACAATTCTATTTTTTGGATTTATTATTTGTCAGCGTTGTCGGGATTGTTTTGTCGATATTTTATTTGGTCTCTAAAGGGAGGTCGACTACGCAAATCGGCAACTTTCGCATGAATCTTAGGAGAAAATAAACTTCCCACTTTATTCGCACATTTATTTGTTTTGGACCCTTTAAAACTGATATCGTCCTCCCTTGTAGCGAATGAAGCTATATTAGTAGAACTCTGTGCTTGCCAAGAAATACGCCCAAAACCTTAAGTATTTGGCAAAAATACGTGAAGAATTTATTGTATCGAAGGATTTAATAAATTTAATACATTTTTTAAAATGAAAATCATGTATCATCATTTTATTATTATACTTTAGAGTTCCCTAGTTTTCAGTCATTTTAGTTATTAGTTAATAATAATAAGAATATCTTTATCTCCACATCATAAATTTTGTTGTTAAATGGAATATAGTACTATAAAAAAAAAATTCAGTGTAGAACTAGCCACATATTATTCATCCATTTTTACTACTTCAAAGTGTCAAGAACGACAAACAAGATTTCAAATTTTCCGTTTCACGGTACTGACTTATTTATTCATGGTACTGACAAAATAAATAAACTCCCTGTTGTGACGTACTTTTAACACGATTCATTAAACGTTTCATAAATCTCAAAGTTCGAACCGGAATTCAGTGTTAACTTAAAACATTAACCAAAAAAGTCTCATTTTTTTTAGTTTGATCATAGAAATAAGAATTTGGGAGGTAATTAGTTTAATTCATTTATTGCAACAAAAAAAAAGAGTTTATAGATAAATTTTAGAAATGGACATGACACGCTCTAACATTTAGTTGATATGTTGTAGGTTCTCTCTGAATGACAAATTATATTATATAAAAATATAACGAAATATGTTCATGCTCATCTAATACAGAAATTTTATTTTTAGATAAATCATCAGTGAGAACAAATAATACAAAACATAAAAAATCGCATTTAAAACAGAATCAAGACTTTTGTTAACTAACTTTTTATTTTTTGCCCGAAATGTTCTAGTTAAAGCAAAATTTGTCCTTTGTCATTGTAAACAACGTTACCATATTTCAACAAACATTTTAATATTGTCGGAACGCCCTATATAGGTGCGGTTGATTTTATCGATAATTTTATAGAAAGAACACTTGTGTTTAATATATGCAAGACAGTTAAGTGTCCCTATTAAGCAATGTGTATTTGAATACTCTTACAATATAGCATAAATATTATCCACCGCAGATAAGTTCATTAGATTACTATTTGATAGTATTTAAACAATTTCATTCATTCATTTTTAAGGAGTTGTATTTTAAAGTTCATCAGGACAAATGTAGGTAAAAGTGGCATGATATCTATTTTTGTATTTATTAAGAAACAATTATTAATAATTCCGTAAAACCCATAGAAGTCACTAATCCCATATTGCAATTTTACAAAATTTACAAAATTAGCAAAACGAGAACATAAATTTTGATATCGCCCTAAATTAACACTTATATTTCGCCACTTGTTTTGTTTGTATCATTGCTGTTAACTTGCAATAACCTTGATTGCTCTGCAAACATGTGGCGTGTGGCGAGACTACTTGTGAAGGAAAAACATGTAATTTTTTGGTAGTTGTAGTTTCTAATTTTGCCGTTGGGGATCCTTTTCCGATAGGTTTTTGTTCAGGTCTAAATAAGGCTGTGCCTCCACAATATAGGCATCTAGCATTATCTTCGGGTTTCAAGGTCGTATACAATTTTCTATTTTGTCAAAATTTTATCCTTTTTTTAATGTTAGAGAGACAATTACAGTTATTGCTCAACTAAACAACCACATGCATATTATTTATTGCATACTTCAAATTGCTTGCATGTAAGTGATGAACTTTGTCAATATTAATATGAATTAAATGGGCAGCAAAATAATCTGATTTATTCCACTAAATTTTCCGGAAAATACTGGAAAGTAAGAAAACTAATGCACTATTTTATTATGCTGAATTAATGCTGTTGTCCCAAGCTCAGTGAATGAAAAATGATAAAATACTTATAGAGATTTAATGAAACCGCGAGTAAAAATAGCATATTAATTTAACTATAAATAACATGAACTGTTTGATTGAATAAAAAAGGGAAATGTGCGGTAAAACTAGGTGTAACAAGTACTCAGTGGCAATAGCAACTAAAAAAAATGGAAAGAGGGATTGTGGAACCTCAGGTGAAAAGTACTCTATTCAAACCTTTATTTAATACTTATTTTTCTGTGGGTTAAATCCATGGATTAACATTTGCTAAAATTGCAAAAAAGATAGGCAAGACAATTTGTATTACAGTCGGCAGTAAGTTAAAATTAATTAAAACTACGGTTAAACAGGTGTTGCCAAGTGTTTCAGTAACAAATTTATTACAGTTAAAAAAAATAAATATAGTGTCAAACGTGCTGATATTGGAACCAAAATTTATTTAGCCAATATGTGGAGTTGAAGTGATTTATCGGCCCTAAATCGCTTATTTTTAGTTGGTTAGGTAGAATTTCTTATAGTCTATTAATTTATTTTATCACCTTTTTTGCATCTAAAATTGTATACATGTAGATGTTTTTTTTTAACTCCTGGATTTTTAGTTGTTAGTGAAAGGGTATAGAAATTACATCGAGATAGTCGTATGAATGTCAGCATTTGAAATTTTGGGGCATGCGTTATTACCCAACCGTTAAGAAAAAAATGAAAACGAAAGGAAACAACGCGTTCCAACAATGACACGTTACCTATTTACGGAAACGTGCAGATGTTGATTTGTTTAGTTGTAATTAATGCACAACACATATGCACAAAACTGCGATGTTATTATTACAAAAAACTTCCTAACCAAGAACGGCATAAGATGTCAAAAGTCGCTCGACTTGAAAGCACCGTTTATATCAATTGGCACTTGAAAATTAAGTGACCAGCGAAAAGCAGCAGCATTGGCTATTTCTCGTCATGTACTATTTTTTTCTAACCTCTCGAGTCGTGTGAAGGAATCGGTAGAAATACGACACACCACTAACCAAATTTAGGAACAAACGGCCATTGCGATGAAATTCAACAGCTCCGTAGGTACTGGAATAATTTTCTTTATTGCAAAATGGTTATTGATCATCCGCGATCGCCTCTGCAAAAAGGATACAATCGCCCAGATAAAACGCTATCGATGTACACACAGTAGTACTAATTATTGTCTGTGTTGTTGAGTTCGAATACACTTTTCCGCGATAACGAATGGTGTCCCGACCCGATGATCGAAACGAACACTTCTTTTTACCCGACAACCTCGTCACCGCTCGGAAGAACGAAACTGTCCGGCTGTTTCGCTGGGCGTTCGCCGCGCTCGTAGCGTAAAATGCGGGCAACAAATCATGGATGCGACGTTGCCATATCCTCCTTTAATAAAATAATCGAGAAGCGAATTATTTTTCGTTTTTTTTTTTTCGCAGGCCCCCTCGGCCGCCTGAATGCGTTATACGTTTTTCAAAATTATAAGAATTTTCCTATAATTTTTATAATTTCGTTGAGGTTGTTTTTGAATAAAATATCCATTTAACGGAATACATCTATGACAACTATAGAATAGTTTTTTTAGGCCGTCTTTAAAGAACTTTTTCGGTGTCTCTTCAATCTACCTATTTATAGATAGTATAATAATATAATCTTTATTTTACAAATCGACAAATACTATGTTTGTATAGGACAATGTCCAAAAAATGAAATAAAGCAAAATGACGCATAATCCAAGACCACAAATAGTAGTACATAAGGAAGGGAAAAGACTAACTAAAGTACTCTTCTACCGAGTACAGGCATTTAATCACAACATATTGCTTCAAATGTTTTTTAAATGCACATAAATTATCACACGTTTTTATTTCTTTCGGTATGATATTAAAAAATCGCACACCATTTATAGTCTTTCTCAATTTTCATCGTGTTGGCTTTCCACGGACCCTATTGTTATTGGGTAAATCCATCACTATTGTATATTATGCAACAAGTGCGGTAAACGGCATTTGACTCGCGAGTTTATTTGACACGAGCGGGGCGCAGCGGAGCGAGTGCTTAAAAAACAAGTGACTTAAAAAGTTTACCGCACTTGTTGCATACTATAATTTTTCTACGACCGTTATATATAACACGAATACATTTACTGACAAAGCGTGGGAAATATCTCCGAAAACATCCGATTGCTCCCAAACCCATGCGGTAAAATCCCGGAAATGGCTCGGATCCGTGGGAAACGAAACTGACGTGGTAAAGTGACGCTTCCCACAAGCTAAATCTGTGTGTAATTAGGCATTTTACAGACCGGAGTAGAAAAAATGTTTATCCTTACTTGAGTGACAAGAGGCCGAGATGAGCCAAGTATATTTCTTTTTCTACTCCCATCTGTAAAATACCTAATTACGCACCGATCTAACGTGCTGGAAGCGTCACTTTACCACGTCAGTTTCGTTTCCCGCGAATCCGAGCTACTTCGCACATTTCCAAGATTTTACCGCACGTGTTTGGGAGCAATCAGATGTTTTCGGAGATATTTCCCACGCTTTGAATTTTGACGTTTGTCAATTCTGACAGTCATATCAATAAATGTATTCGTGTTGTTTTGCGAAAATATACTATTCTTTGTGATATATTTTTTCAGTGTTGACCATTTGTGGCAGTGTCGAATAATCGTTTTCACCGTGCGTTTCGAGGAAGTTATTTCAAAATCATTTGTCGCTTGATGCAAAAAAAGTTTGTGAAAAATGTATATCAAACTTTAATCAGTAGTGATGAGTAATTATCGGATAGTATTTTATTGTTTTCAAGATACTTCGAGAAAACCATGGCGACTATAACTGGTCTGTAAATATTAATATTTGTTTTACTACCTTTTATGGAATAACCTTTTCAATTTTTTGTCGTGAAGGAAATTTTGGACACGATATACAAAATAATATTTTTATGTATTCAAAAGCATAGCTAAATTAGAAATAAAACTCAATATACGTTAACAAAATTTGTTGCTATTATTTCAATGAACATTACCGATAAAATAACTAATAATTCTTTTTTCAATGGTTTTTCGGAAATGCCTTTTTTCCGATGTAGACGGGAGTTTTCAACCTCGATTTCGCTTGCGTCTTGTACTGTGTCTGATTTTGCTGAGTTTTTGTGGGAAAAGCGACTTTTTGAAAGTGAAATGGTGTTTTTTGGATATTGCTATTTCAAAGACTGATGCCGCAATACTGCGAAATTTGCAATGAACACATTATCCATTGTAGATTTCCAAATAACGCTCAAATGCACCGGATGTGGTTTGCATTATCTCTAAAAGTATATTAAATTTGTTTAATTTAACTTTTGAATAATACAATGATGAAAATTATAACATTTTTAAATTATATTCGCACATGCCAATGGTTTATTACCCCTCTCGGGATTTATTTTCTCACACCTTAGGTGGTTACTATAGTAACTAACCATCACACAACTCGCCCCTTGTCCTTGCCTAAATGTTTTTATTTGCATTACAACAATAGCAAGCGGTCTCTCGCTATATATATAACGTACAATAATAATTCCTTTGCAATCTCGAAGTACAGTCGATCGTCTTGTAATAGGTCTTCGACGGCAATATTATTTCTTTCATTTACCGACGTACTTATTGCTAGTGGTCAATCCACCTGCAGACTCACCAAATACTCATTGCTGATGCCGAATAATTTCTGATGGTTTTAAGCCTTCCTTGCCTTCTTTCCAGTGCTACGGAAATGCGTCTAGATCAGTCGCACATCCAGATTGACCAATATTGCACTAGACAGTTACATAACCATGTAAAGACTTGACTGCCACAATTTCCAGAACATTGAAACCATCCCTCGTACAAAACAATGTTATTTGCTTCAATCTTCGCATAATAATAGACTTTTGACAATAATTGAGTTTAAAATAAAATTAAGGAAAAACCAAATTCAAAAGGACCATTGGCTCATTGCGTTAATTATCGTTCTAAAAAAAGACGGTTATAGATTTACTAGCTAGCGCCATTGTGAGCTACAGGGCGAACTAATTCTCTGGCGTTAGATGGCGGGAAATTTGAATTAGGACAGAGCTATCTTTGAATTTTTGGAGGAAAGTAATAAAATTGCAATGCTATCTAAATAATGTAAAAATGTCATCAAGCCGAACAGAAAATCGAAAGAAAACATTTACTTACGTACGCAGATATATTTGTTGGCAGAATCTGGCAACGTGGCATCATTGTTCGCCCTTTTATGCGTAGGCCTCCTTCTTCAGGTAGAATGCAATCCCTTATTGACAGATATTTGCTGACACTAATGTCACCGAACAACGACTGGAAATAGCGGATTCTAAACATTTAAAGGGTGCCAGGCGAAAACAAGGAATGTCATTTTCTGATGAAAATGAATGAAAGGTATCTCCTATCTAAAACAATATATTATCCCGTGAAACTAGTAACGCCGCATCTTACAACAATATCTTGTACTGAAGAGTGGATGACTGTTTCTATCCAAAAATCATCAAATGTTAATCGTCAAATATTATTGCAAGGCCATTCCTTCTTTACGCCCTTAAATCGCTTAGATCGCTGGGGGCAAGATTATAAAATAATAATAATAAACAGTCAATTGTATTTTACATTGCAATTGCATTTTGCATTTTTAACCGTAGGGAATTTAATTGAGTGAGGGCCAAGTTATTCTCAATTTCAATTCTTTTCTTTGATTACTGGTGGTAATAAAATAACATTTTAGAAAATGCTGTATGCTGTATTAGAAGTCACGTCATCACAATATATAGCAAATTTCGCAATCTTTCTAACAATTTTGCCATATCGGTCAAAATAGACTAGTGAGGGAAGATTAGAAGATAGAAACGAAGATTGTGCTATGGCCATTATTACTGTATATTTTACATAATAAAAAATAATAAAATTTATTTGCCACTAGACGCTAGCGGGCGTTGTCTTACAACTCAACAAACTTGGCGCGTTTTTTTTAATCAACACTAAAGAGGAATAAAACCTTAAATCGTCCGATGATATTTGTGAAAATAATATATAATAATAGTATATTATGCAACAAGTGCGGTAAACGACATTTTTACCGAACGTGTTGCATACTATACTTTTTCTACGACCGTTAGTTTTTGGGTACATTTTCGCAAAACACGAATACATTCACTGACATGACTGTCAGGATTGGCAAACGTCAAAATTCAAAGCGTGGAAAATATTTCCGAAAACATCCGATTGCTCCCAAACACGTGCGGTAAAATCCCGGGAATGTCCGAAGTGGCTTGGATTCGTGGGAAACGAAACTGACGTGGTTCCCGCACGCTAGATCTGTGGGTAATTAGGTATTTTACAGACGGGAGTAGAAAAATGATTTTTAAAACACTCTATTCAGTGTTTGTTTTTCCCTACATAAATGTTAATATTTTTGCCAAATACTTCGGTTTGAAAAAAAATATATCAAGCTGTTGTTGCTGTTGAATTTAAAAACACGCAATGTTTGTTAAATCATAATAGAGCACCTACTATTAAATATCATATTATTATTGTTTATTATGCAGAATATAGAGTAAGGGCTTTTTTAAATGAGATCGAGTCGATTTAATTCCGTTAACCACATTACGGAGTTAATTAACATTTAAATACAAACACATTTAACCTCTCCCCACTACTTTATTTTAGAAGATAAGGCAATTTTTTTTTAAACAAAATCCGACATTTGCTGAATATTGTGATTCCATCATTTCTAATACCGTTCCGCTAAGCAAAATTGTGCAAAAATCCGATTTTCTTATCCGTTACAAAAGTTTCCCCCCAGAGGCCGTTCCAGGAATTTGAATATAATTTCCGACAATTCATCAAGGCTTCACTTAAAAAAATAGCACGAAAACAGTTTCAGTAATGAAGAAAACTGATCAAATATACCAAATAAAAAAAGAATAACATGAGTGCTCTCCGTATATTAAATTTGTGTTTCTAAAAAAGAGATGAGAAAAAATAACACTCAGTGTCGATTTTAAGCTCAAGTCTATCAAAATTATTAAAGACATTCGAGATATTCCTTAACACAAAACGCAATTCTAGTTTGTATATAAAATTTGTAAGTTTCAGAAGAAAACTGACTACGACTAGTTTTTACCTCTTCTATAAGTTTACGCACCACCGAGCTGCAAAAAGTGTCAAAATCTGTATCTAAAGAAACCAAACAAAGTAATAAATTGTAAATTTGCGATGACGGGAATCATTAAACACAGTTTTTCACTTTCACTAATCCGTTTCTCAGCAACAAATTCAGAAACATTAATTATTTTCCAGAATGACCTTTGCCAACAACTGGCGGAAACTAAATCGCATTTTAAACATTAAGCACCTGTAGGTCAACTACCTGAAACTCTCGGGACCCTTGACTACTAAGACCACTAAGTTTTACAGTGCAATAATGATTTATATAACTCCCTCGCATTAAGAAACAGAAACTATGCTATTTGTGTGGCTAGCTTTATTATTAAGAGACACACTCTACAAAAGGATGTAACGCTAATTTCGTATATTTTTGAATTTCTTCTATCATCCAACTTGTCGAGATTGTTTTGTTTTCCTCAGGTTTGCTCGGGTCGTACGAAAAATGTAATGACAATTTAGATTTGCATGAGCGTTTAATATACCTAAATCCATTTTTCACACGTATTATCGTTGTTTTAATTATTGTTGCAGTGTAAAGTGATCAAAGAACAAGCGGACAAAATGTTTAAGGAAGGACTGGTTAGCACCTTCATAGCGCCGTGCGACGTGATGCAAAATTCACATATCGTCTTCAGCTGCGTTTCCGATCCCAAATCAGCCGAAGTTGTGAGTATACATATACATTTCATTATTAAAATTTATTGTTTAATTACTGAAAAAAAATTGCAAATATCTCAACGTTCAAAAGACTTCCATTGCGAAGTAGGATGAACACTAACAAGTTTTAGAAATAAAAATGGATCCAGAACAGCCTTTGTGTTTCTTGTCGCTCGTGGTTACTGTTAAGATTTTATAAATCTATCGCAGAAGCCACAAAAGCCAATTAAACCGTCATAACTGGTTTCATACTGCAAACTTAACGTTGAGCGGTTAATGAGAAATTCTTTTGAAATTCGGTTGATTTTAAGACTGAGTATTAATTAAGTGGCGAAATAGTAGTATACAATGTGCCGTTTAAAAAGATACAAAATAAAAAGTAAATAAGTTTCTTTAATGTATTTATTTTTGAAACAGGAATGAGATGTGTTCAAAAAGTAAGGTGACTTTTATCAGCTTACACGGTTACTTTTTTTTGTGAGCGTTAGACGTGCTTTGTGTGCTCAGCGATTTTCTGCTGTCCAAAAAAATGGAATAAAGAATTTGCTTAAAATTTTGTATAAAAATGGAATACAGTGCTGCAAAACACTTGAATGGTGAATCTACTTTGATAAAAAAAATGTTTACAAGCGGTACAAGCTGTTCCAAGATGGCCAAAAAGACGCCGATGATGAACCTCGCTCTGGACGCCCCAGAACATCAATAACTGATGGAAACGTTGAAGAAGTGAAACAAATGGCGCTGAAAAATCGTCGAATCACTATTAGGAAAACGGCTGATGCGTCGGCAAGTTTTGGGCATGTAACGTGTAGCAGCAAAATTTGTTCCGAAACTGCTAATTTTGAGTAAATGGACGGTCGAAGGATCATCAAGAGCTATTAAACGACGATGATGTTCCTGATATGCTCAAAAAGGTAAGGTCATAAGTGGTGACGAATCATGGGTATATAATTGTGACTTCAAAACCAAAGCCCAGTTGTCCCAGTGGAAGAAACCAAAATCACCAATACCGAAGAAAGCACCTAAAGTTCGATCAAATGTCTTGCTTACTGTTTTCCTTGATTATCGTGGCGTACAAGGTCGTACGGTCAATAAAGAAAACGTCCGGAATTGTGGGAAAACATTTAATGCATTTTGCTTCACGATATTGCACCAGCATTACGGTGCTTGTGTCTAACTTTTTGGCCAAAAACAAAACCACAATCATGCCTCAGCCGCCATATTCACCAGATATGCCGCCCTGCGACTTTTTCCTGTTCCCTAAACTTAAGAAACCGATGAATGGAAAGAGGTTTGGAATGATTGCAGAGATAAAGACAAAATTGCTAGAAGAACTCAAGATCATAAAAGAAAGTAGTTACGAGAAGTGCTTCGAGGATTGGAAAAAACGTTTGCACAAGTGGGGATCACTTTGAAGGGGATAACATAAATTTTGATAAATAAATAAATAATTTTTGATAAGACTTGAATGTCACCGTACTTTTTGAACACAATGGTATGCTTATATATTTGCTAACATTCATAATACGGAGCAATCGTATTCTCAAATTGAAATTTTATTTTTCGTTTTATCGTTATACATTTTGAAAATAAATATATTTTTTATCCTCTCCTTAATTTTAAAAATATGTAAATTTAAATGATGTAGAAAATACTAAAAAATACGTAATCTGTAGTTAAAAAATTGTTTTTTTCTGGGTGCAAATGGAAAATAATTTTATTTTTTTGTCGGATTTATTCGTTAACGATTTGGAGCTTAATCTTAAAATATTTCTCATCCTATGGTTTATGACAAGTCATAAATTTTATCAGGTAACTCAATAACATTTAATAACTCTTTGCACTTGAAAGTCAGATGCATTTAATGGAGAAATCAATTTGGGAAGAAAAGTAATTAAATAAATCATTGTACCCGGGAAAAGTTTTTAAAAATCGTCACTGTTCCCGATATACGGAGTGTTCCAAAACAAATGCGAATAACTTAAGGATGCGATTCCATGTTTAAAATGAGGCGTAGTTTGTTATGTAAACGTTGGATCAAGAGTCAACCATTAGGGAGATATGGCGCTAGAAATATGGAGGACAAATGATGTTTTTATTTTTTATCTTGAAACGAAAATAGATACAACAATATTACAAAAGTATTACTATTATAAAAACACAATTTCCAAAATATTTTTTTATTTTTTTTAAATTGATTGAAAAACTTTTGCAATAGCATAAAAAATCATTTTGTTTTATTTGGAAACTTTTGTCTCCTGCAATTTATTACACATACCGTTGCCAAATAAGAAAATATTTAAAATAAAAAATAATAGGTTTTTATAGAATGTTTAGTCATAGTTTACGCATGAATACATCAGTTATTAGTTTCAGAAATATTTATTAATGAATTATTTTTAAAATGTAATTGTTTAGAAGGCAACTGATAAATGTTGGTATAAAATACAACTGTTTCACAGGACTCAATTTTTCGACATGCAAGCAACACTTTAGATTTTTAAAAATTTTTAAGCTGTAAGTTTAATTATTTGACCCCACCCACTTAAATTATTTTTCTAAAATAATTTTTTGGGAATGCAGCGCTTTACATTTTATTTATTTATTTGGTATCTGTAAATTGCACATTGTACGGGGAAAAAGTTTCTAATAAATGTAAATTTAGCTAATAAGAATGATAGAGGTGAGCAAAAAAAAACAAAAAGTTTGTTTTTATAATAGTAATACGTCCGAAATATTTTATTGTGTTTTCTATTTTCGTTTTTAAAATAAAAACGTTATACTTCAGTCATATTTGCAGCGCAATATATCTCTAGTGGTTGACTTTTGAAACAACGTTTATATAACAAATTACTCTCTATACTTTACACATTTTTTGTAGGGTACTTCAAAACCTGTAATCACTACATAATTGCTATAAATTTTACGTTCTTGCGCCCTATGTAACAATCCTCTATCATGGAAACTTAAGCCTAATTTCTTTTTTTTTTTGCGTAAGTCATAAGTATTCTTTTTTTTTTATTGGTTTTTGCCTCCTTCTGTGGACAAGTTGACTTAAAACGGACATTTGGAAAACAAACTTCCTAAACAATAGGTAGGGGTAATTCAAATTTATGGGGTATGTTACAATATTCTAAAACCATTGAAATGGTTTGCAGAATGTCTTTGTAAATTTCCATTTTGGTTAAAGGGGGATACAGGATGTAAATGATAAAATCAAATTTTCATTCTTTCCATTATTAGCACAAACGGGTGCAGTCGATTTAGTTATCGAACATACAGACTTTTTATTCAAATTACAGCTGTTTTAACTTTTTTCGAACCATGGAATTATTGTTATACATATTCGTATTTTTCGACTATAAGATGCATACGAGAACTTACGATTACAATGGATCTATTTTTCTGATTAGCTCTACTAGAAAATCAGAAATTGTAAACGGCATTGGGACTATTTTCGAAGAACATAAGACGGTTAAAATTTGCACAAACAGAAACAATAAACTATTGGTATACAATTTTATTTAGAAAAATCAGCAAAGCCTATATCTTCGCCATTGGCCCATCTAAATTTTGGCAAAAGCCTTGGGGTCATATACGTTTTTTTAAATCTAATCAGCTTTTGCGAATCGCCTTACATTGTGGGATGTGGAACATATTACATGCAATCAAAAAATTTGGTATTAGTTACATTATTTTGTAACAACAATTTACCTGCCCAGCGAAATGGATAACATTAGAATCCGAAGTATCATTATGATCAAATAACGCATGAAACTTGATCTGACGAGGACAGGCGAAGTCACCACTCGCGCTAAAATGGCGGAAATGATTCGTCTATGTAATTATGTGGTGTACTATCTTTGGATTAAAAATGTACAGGCGATTTCTCGCTATCTTCTCTGAACCTACTTGAGAGTTAGTTAAGGCGACTTAAAAAAGTTAAGTCTGACATCATGGACGGACATCCAGCCAGTAAACGCTACAAATCGATAAGATCCTGTAAGAGCGAGACGGGACATCCACCAACGTTGTATTGCTTCTAATAGTAAGAGCCAGCGACCAATTTGGAGGTATTTTAGACAATGCTGATGAATGCGCAATGACGAGTCGGGTAGGCCGTTTCTGGTGATGTTTGCAAATGGGCAACATATTGCACAAAAAGAAATAAAACTTTGTTTTAGACATTCCAATATTTTGTTTTTGTTTCTAGAATCCAAAAATAAAAATGCAAGATTATTTAGTGCAACCCTACATGGATGTGTTTTATTAAAATATGCAAAAAGTGTGCTTTAGGCATTTTGGTATTATTTTAGTACATTTATTAATTAATTAGATATGCAATTGCAATAAAGCCTGATAAACTGAGCGGTCTTAAATATTCATTTGGAGACAAATAAAGTTTTACATAAGTGCGTTTTGTACTGGGATTGGTTGTTGATGGACTACGTCGCCGCAGCTGCGTGGTAAAATAATTTTTAATTTTATTTCTAAAATACAAATATATGTATATCGGCAATATAATTTTCGACAGAATTTAGTTGCAAAGTTAACATTTACAATTTAAAATTAAAATATTCTCTGCAGAAATATTTTTTGTACTCCCCTCTGTAATATACCTAATTAGCGCACGAGTTTGAGGCTGCGACTACTCCAGGGTCAAACAACGAACGGATGAACACCCGGATTACCACCAATACACATAGTTCCATATATATATATATATATATATATATATATATATATATATATATATATATATATATATATATATATATATATATATATATATATATATATATATATATATATATATATATATATATATATATATATATATAATATAGGGGGTGTTCCATTTAAAAACTGCAAGTTGACAGCAACTTCCGGAAATGACAGGATGTTGACAATATTTTAAAAGAGCAATACACTCTGAATATTGAAAGGCGTTTCTAAATTACATCTCATTAAGCTTTTAATGAATATCTCTTTTATCTTTGGTTAATAAT